CATTTCCTCTTTGCATCATCTTGCCTCCCGCTTTCTCCTTTGTCCTTACATAAAAACAGAAAGATACGTCTTGATCTTTTTGCTGCATCACTAGATTAACACGAAGACTTTTAGCACATCAGCTACCTCTAGTGAGTCATTTTTCAGTGTGCATTTGAGAAAAACACCTTTTTTTTTTTTTAGATTGACATCATTTCACACAATTGGGAATTCAAATATATTATCACACTGTAGTTATTTATTTAACTTTTTTGGTGATTTTTTAGGTTTAACCAACAAAATAACTTGGTTAAGTTTGGGGGGAAGCAACTCATCACACTGAACTATAAAMCTTTCTCCTTTTTAAATTGGCCCTAGGAGTATCTTCTTTTTTTAAACATTTATTTTTAGGAATAAAATCTCCCAGATTTGAGAGAAATTGCTTGGTTGTGTCTTCTTTTTAGAGTTCCAGGGTGTAAATCTGTTTTCACTGTTGACAGAAGGGCAAGAAAGTGGAAAAGCAGGGATGTGTGACGACGTCAGGGTGTTAAAAATGAAGATTCATTTTCCGTTATGTTGCTGTTTACYACAACACAATAAAGATAAACACGACAGCACATGAATCAGGAGAATTGTTGTGTTGTCTTCGTTTAGGTAAAAAAAAGTGATATGACTTTATTTTCATTTTATTTTATTTTTCAGGCAGCCTCAGTTAAATCTTTATAATCAGAACAAATCCATCCATGTTTGTGGTTCAGTCGAGGTAGTTTGGATCAGATAAGGTTCCAGGTTTTCTGATACAGGAAAGGAAGGAAATRATAAAGAAAATATGCTGTGTCATTCAAAGGAGGTTATTGCTGTAATAAATGAGGATGCGGTTGCTAAGGAAACAAAAGCTTGAAAAAGAAAACAAATAAAACTCATCTTACAGGAAAAGAGACCACAGAAGATTTTTTTTAATACGAGGAGATTGTGATGTCGACAAGTGATTTTCACTTGTGAATGATCGTGAAAACGTGYTTGAAATAGACATGTCCTGTTTAAATAAATCAGTTGCTTTTGTAGTGTCTGCCAATCAATGGAGTCAAGACTTTAAATTTTTTAGTGTTTAAATCTTCACCAACAAGCTTCTTCCTCTGAGGTCCATTGGATCAGCTAGATAGGAGCCTCAAACCCAGAACTTACTTCCTAAACTGCTGTCTCCAAACAGGGGCGGTTCTAGGGGCGGGGCCACAGGGGCATTGCCCCCAGCTGAAATCTGATTGGCCCCCTGAAGYGTCCCTGTCCTGTCATTCATCTGTCTTTTATCTGGAAGCCATGACGGTGGCTGACGTTTAATGTCCAAACACTAGAGGCGCTAATGAGTCAAATAGGAAAGTCCAGCATGAATCAAGCTTACAGAAGTCTTCTCTTCCAAGAAAATGGGAACAATCCTGTTTGTCAACTGACAATGACTAGATTTTCTCAAAGGCTGTGTGTTTGGAAGTATTTTTTCAATGTACAGTAAAAATGTATGTAAAACTGGTAAGGAGAATTCATTGTGTAAGCTTTTATTTTAAAAAAAAATACATTACATTACAAGTGTTTGAACATGTGACTGGTTAAATGTAAACACCTTACCAAAACTGGGGATTTGTGTGAAAGGATGTTGAACAAATACTTGGCCCCTCTATGAAAATAGTGGCCCCTTAATGGCCCCTTACTCAGAAAAATCTATCCACACTGTCTCAAGTCTCATGCCTTTCTGAAAAATGGCCAAAATTTTAGCTGATTTTAGATAGTTTTGCTTCCATCTATACTCTCAAAAAACAGATGTAGTGGAKTAAATTAAAAAGATGATATCAACTGGTCCCAGTCAACTRACTTTAATAAAGATAACACATGTGTTATCTTTATTCAAGCCAGTTGACATAATCTTTTTTAATTTAATCCACTACATCTGTTCATTTTTTACATCAAACAAAGTGCAATGCTTTTTAATTTAACTATGTAATTTCAGACRTCTAAAATGTATTATTTAATTTACTGTTGACATTTATTCTGGATCTATCCACCTGAGCCAAAAACCGTCTGAAGATTTTAATTCCAGAAAGTTTCAACTRAGAATAAATTTGATTAAATAAAATAAAATCCTTCATGTCAGYGTGATGTCATGACATGTCAACAGTTTATTCAACCCAATCATTAAAGGTTAGTTAAACTCTTTTGGGGAAAGCTCGGAGTGACCAAAASAAGTGATGCTGATGATGAAGAGGGTGGGTGGGGGGATGCAGGAGGAAGCGAAGCAAAACGGTCACATCCACAGTGGCTGCTGAGGAAKACATCCCCTCTGCTTCTCTCTCTTCCTCTCAACTCCCTCCTCCTCCTCCTCTTCTCTGCTCTTCAATCCAACTTGAACTAACGGCGCGCTCATTTTTTAATGACTCTCACAGCATCAGTGCAGCTTCTCGTTTTGCTCCCCGCTCTCCTCTTCGCCACCTGTTAGTCTTCCTCTTCCTCTCTGCTCTGGAATTCCCTTTTTTTTCCCTCCTCTGTTCTTTTATGAGGAGTTTCACTCTTATTCTCTCACTGAGGTAAGACATTTTACTGCTTTATTTTGAAATGCAGATACATTGAATCACCACTTTGTCTCCTCACATGATGACATTCTTTTTGTATAGATGTATTTTTAGACAAAAATCAGAGACATATCATTCTGCAGCAGACAGATGCAACATGTGTCAGTATTACTTTCTTCTCACCTGCTCTTTCACCCCCCCCCCCCACACACACACACACACACACATCTAACTCTGAAGTTTACTCATTCCATCTGGCTGAAAATAACCCAGCTCTAATTGACATGCCCGGGCTGCCACCATGCTTATTTAGAAGTGATGCTGCCTGTTAAAGTAACGAGTAGCTACAGTGTGCAGCAGTGTCCCCCCACCCCATCTGCCTGTCATCCAGGAGCTTGTTATTTAAAGGTGAGCAGAATCTGCCTCAGGGCCACACAAGAAATTGTAAGAGAACCAGCTGAAGGGAGGAAGAGACATCCTCCCACAGCTCCAGGTGAAATAATGGCCGCTGGAGAGATAATGAGACGGATAAAGAGGGAGGAGAGAGGTGGGCATGGGAAGGTACAGGGCTGGAGAGAGACCATGCCCATCATCTGACTCTAATTTAAAGTGAAGGAGCTAAAAAAAGATGGGAGGGAGGGGTGTCACATGTTGCACAAAGATATTCCTGACTGCAGGAATCTGTGGGTTTCCTTCGTCTGCTGGAAACTGGAAGGTTTGACAAATACGACAGATACTGGGCTAAAATGTGCTCTGATGGCAGCTGAGAGTCATTCCCAGCACACATTCAGAGCAGAAACTGATTCATGAGATTTGTTAAGAAAGTTTATATGTTACTTTTATTGTTTTTCTGTCTGTCATCATTGGGTGAACACCTGAAACTGATTAAAGTCATCAAATGATGCAGGTTTTAATGGTTTTAGTTAGAATTTAATGCTCCTAGCATCATCATGAAACGATTGATTGTGGGATAATGTAACTCATCAGGGTTTTTGTAAAAATCATGCTACAAAACATCAAATATCCTTTGTTTATAACTAAATTTGGCATCAATTACAATCAGTGATGTACTGTATATTCTCCTTTTAGAGTTCTGGATATATTTACTGTTTACATTCTGTGTTTTTTTAATTGCAAACACATATAAGTAAGTAAGTAAGTAAGTAAGTAAGTAAGTAAGTAAGCAAGCAAGCAAGCAAGCAAGCAAGCAAGCAAGTAAGTAAGTAAGTAAGTACATTTTTATTTATATAGCGCCTTTCACAGAAATAAATTCACAAGGTGCTGTACATTCAGGGAAGAGGGGAGGGGGCAGTTAAGACAGTCATCCAGCAAACACAGTTGCTCTACCATAACAACAAAAACAACAGAAAAACTAAAAACCACACAATGGAAAGATGAGGTAAAAAAGCAAAAACATCATATTATATCAACACTGTGACACACTATGGTGTTTATGAAAAAAAAAAAACTCTGCATAGGGCAGATTAATTAGCCAGAGGAGTGAAATTATGGGGCCCGAAGAATCCAGTCCCCAGAACAGCGCAGCCAAAGTTCAGAATTTTGATGGAAGTGTTCATTCTGTGTGGCCTTCAGCCTGCTCAGGAATCAGATTTGATGGATGAGAGAGGAGGGGGGGAGGTAGGGGGCAGAGCCTTATCGACGTAATCCAGCCAGGAAGAATTTAGTCAACAGATCAAGGCCGTTGAAGGGGAGAGCCAGATTCTGTAATCAGTTGTTTTGGGAACAAAAGAGCACAACATTCAAATAAAAAACAATAATAAGTCGTGTATTTTGACRTCTATTGTGGCTTTAACGTTTGGAGTCAGCCCAATTAAAAATGGGCTCCACAGCTGATTAACCTTAGCCGCCACAAAAATGGTTGTAATTCTGCCAGTTTTACAGATTATGAGCCAATTTTGGTGTCGTAGTAGCTGAGAATCATCCTCCACACATTCTTTGAACAATGCTTTTGTTGAAAATCTTTAAATACATTAATGTAAAGGTTTAAAAATGATGAGACAGGAAATAGACAGAAAACTAAACAGCAGCCTTGCAACATATATTTTGCAAACTTGATTTGTCAGAAAGTTCATAAAAAGTTTTTGCTTGTTTATGTAAATCAGTCTCTCTAAAACAACTAGAAATGACTTTCATGAAGTTACTTATATATAAAGATTGTAAGCTTTACTCTTGTTGATAAAACATGCTATCCAACAATCTCAGTTTAGTTCCAAAAGGATGGTTTTACTTCAAAACTCTGGTGGGAGATATCACCCTTTCAAAGACGGCTTGGTCTTTAGCTACAGGTTATGAGTTTAGTGGTGAAACCTTCCTCTGACGATTGTTTCGCCACTTTTCTGTGTAACAAAGAGGAYGATGTGAAGCAGAGATGCTGGAAGCCTGAGAGCGATCAATCATGAGCTTCAGCTTCCCAGAGAGATGTGAGCCTGCTGGTGCTGCTGCTGGTGCTCGAGCTGCTCCAGCTTCCAGCCACATCTGCCAGAACTGGGAGGCAAATGACTGTGCACATTTCATCAACACACACACACACACACATGCTCACAACGCAGTTTATTGTGTGTGTGAACGCATGAATTAATGATCTGATGGAAATGGCTGCGTCTACCCTTGCGTACTTGTGTATTTTTGTGCGCTTTGATGAATTATGCATTTCACATACTGACAGTGATTATTACCAGCTCATCTCAGTTTATTGATCTTTCCATCAGTTCTGGTAATCATCTACATGATAACAGGGAGCTTCATTAAGCTGTTTTCACCTTAATACCTTTCCATCCTCCTCTGCAGATAACAGAAGTTTTATTTTAATATTGTTGTGTCAAAGTCGTGATAAGAACTGATTTGTCTTCCTGTCTGCATTATTTCCAGCGAAGGTTTTGAGAAGTTGAACGACACAAAAAAAGGTCATCTCGGCTTTGGGATAATTAGGCAGCAAGAAGCAGAAGTGCCGTCGCGTTGAAATCATTCAYTCTGTGCTGATGAGACCAAAATGGCTGCTGCTGGTTTTCAAAAGGCGAGATGTGCATCATCGCCCGTCGCCGAGCCAAAAGTCTGTCAAAGTCCTTTCAGTCCGAGGAGAGAAGGGAGCTGGCACGCTGCAGCTCCTTTCAGACATTTGTTTCATCAACAGCTGAGCTAAAGCTGGATGAGCCACGCTGACGKTCTCAGCCACCCGATGAGCTCAGTCTCACTGAAGGTCAAGAGTCAGGGGCAGAAGTTTCASAGTCACTTTATCTCAGGGCAGAGAGTCATATTAACTCCACCCGGACGAGTGAAGGCTCTGAAATACAAACCTGTTTACTAATTTTCACCTTTGGAAGTGAACTTTACAGAAAAAAATAAAAAAAAATAATGCAGAAGTGTGGACCCCACAGAACTGTTTTATATTGGATGTGCTGTTAAATGGACCCAGACTCCCAGTGTTTAATGAAATGTTATTTWCTGTCTTCAGTCTTTGTTACAGAACTCAAGATCAGATTGATGCAAAAACTATTTCCTGTCCATCCATCTCCATCCCTGCAGAGTTTAGTTATTTACTCAGAGCTACAGCTGACACACGCAGGAGTTGTAGTTTTATTATTATAGATTTGCTTTTACTTCTCTTTCATTTCCAATCACTTAGTCGCCCGATTGGTCTGAGTTTTTGAACTTTTCAGAACTCAACTCACAAAAAGAACAAAGAGGAGAAAAAAATCCACAATGAGTATAGAAATGTCTCAGTTTCAATCGATTGATGCAGAACAAACAGAAGGTAGTCCAAAGGTTGTTGTTTTTTAAATTCAGTATTGAGAACAGAACACCCCCTCAAGTTCTGCTGTGGAAAACAAAAGCTGTGAAATATTTGAAGCCCACCTGCCTCTTTCAGCCATGTGGTCAACTCACTGCAAACACAACTYAACAAATTCACCAAGACGCTTCTAAATATCCGACTGAAACAAAACGCTCGAGTGTGGAAAGACTACCTTCTGTAATTAAGCTGCCTGTTTATGCAGCCCTGTCAAGCATTTTAGATAAAAGAGTTGGTCTCACACACACACACACACACACACACACACACACACACACACACACACACACACACACA